GTTCAAAATGTTACTTTTTTGCAAGAAAGAGCTCATGATCCCTTCAGTTTGTCCATGCATCTGACTTGAAGTGGTGTGGGTTTAAGTGGAATTATTTTTCAATACTTGAAATACACACTTGAAAAAGGAGTGACTGGAGGGAAAGAAGATAACTAATTAAAGACAACTGCTTGAAAGTGCAAAATATCTTTAAAATCATTTATATATTCAGTATTTTTAGTCTTTTTAACCTGTTCTTGAGCATGTAAATTTAAATAAATTTCTATGCCAAGTAGCTTGGCACACAGCAAATTTATTGTAAGTAATGTAGAGTTACTATTTTCCAACATAACAACAGTCATAATTAAGAATGTTAGTAAATATATCAAAATGAAATATTGCTGTCTGAAAAGATGCATTATCTGTACCCAGAGGAATGGAAAAAAAACCCCCACATTTAATGTGAAGTTTTGTGAATCAACATCTTTTTATGGTTACTGACAAGTAAAATGAAGTTTTGCAATGTAACTAATAGCTACTTATGTGAAATTAGATTAAAATCTGTTTTTAAATACTCAGGGTTTGGCTATGTGGTTTGATGAATTAAAATTAATTATTTGAAATATATCTTTGATAAGCAACATTGTTTGAAGTAATATGGTAATGGATAAATCAGTGGCTTTCCCAAAACAAAGTAAAAATTTAAAGGAGAAGTTAGAGGGCTTTTCATACATTGGAGGACTTTAAGGCAGAGCAGTACTTAACTAATGCAGTGCCATTCTGTGAAGTTTAGCGTTAAAAAGAAGATCAGCAACTTTATTCGTGATGAACTAGGAGAAAGTTGCCTGAAGAGGTCCCAGTGTAAAGGACTCCACAGCTCCCAAAATCAGCCTCCTGTCTCCATGAGTGTCTCTGAAGCAGCAGGGGCCATTGTGAGGAGAGCTGCTTGAAGACATCCCCAAGGGTTCTTGGCTCTCCCACCTCCCTCCAAACGTGGATCATCACAAGAGCAGAGATTGCATCTGCCTGCAGTGGAGGTTTATGTATGTTGGCTGCCTGGATCTCCATGGACAGTTTGAAAGATATTTAGCTCAAATTTTATGTTGCAGCTTTTCACAGTTAAGCTATTTTCTTTATGTGGGATATAAGGCACCAAATTTCTCTGTAATTTTCCACCCTGTCTTTTAAAGGCATTCTGATCCTGGCCATGTTTGCAAGAGAACATTTCTTCTGTCTACAAAAGCATCTTATGGTATCTTTTGAATCTTGTATTAAACTGAACTCTTGTGAAGTCGTAGTTGCCTGTGTTTCACTTTGATTTTTCTCACTTTTTTGTGTCAGTCTTGCCAAATATCTGAGGAGGGCAGAGTCTCACCTCTCCCACCACAGCACAGTGTGTTACCTAGAACTGTGGAGGCAGTCAAGTGGGTTTTTTTCTGACTTTTACATAGGTAATAGAACCCTTGCTTTCCTCTAAACCAAGGCTGGGGCTCAGGGGATGGGAGTGGGATAGTTTAGTAACTCCTGCCTAAGAACTAATTGCTGTAGTAAAGAGTACAAGCTTTTAATGCAATGCTATTTTATTTTTGTATTAAGAACACATTTAAAATCAGATTTTTTAAATAATTTAATTTGTGACCTAACAGAAATAATGTCATGTTCTGTAAGTGAGTTCACACTGAAGTTGATTGTAACTCTGTTCTTATTTACTTAGAGCAAATGGGAAAATTGTTGATGAAACCACCAAGGTGGCAATTATTTTATATAAGTTTGAATTATGTAGAAAACCTGCTTGTTTTCAGTCATTATTAATAGATTGTAATTTCCATTATGAATATACATTTTTTACTAGTTTGCAAGACAAAGGAAGCATAATTAGGATGGAAGAAATGTGTCTTAGGTACCCAGTATAAAATACAGAGCCTGTTTATGCAACAGAATAAGTTTTGTGATGATCTGGATTATGGTTTGGGCAACTCTGTAAAATCAGATATGTGAGCTAGAAAAAAAAAGCTTGTTACTTCAAGGAGAGGAAACAGTAAATTTTGGAACATTTAAGTTATTTTCAGAAAGTAGATTGAATATGAATTTTATTTTGATCTCCTACCCCCTTCCCCCCTTAATCTAATCCATATTCTGGTGGCTTGTTTTTTCAGGAATTAATCAGAAATATGTTCTTGCCTTCAGTTCGTTTCTAAATGACACAGGAAAAACAAACAAACCCCCCAAATAAGCCCACCAAAAGGATGAGAAAAGGTCTAACTGGAATTTTTTCAATGCCTCATGCATTCTGTGTAAACTAGGAACATGGTATTGGCTCCTCAAGATTAATTTAAATGAACGAGACTTTTTCTGGAAAAGGAAACATGCATTCTACCAATAAATACTTTTGGATACTAAACTACTTTGTCTAATATTTACAAACCAGTGTTATATTTGATTAAATAAAGGAAAAAATAGTGTCTGCTTAAATGCGCTTTTTTTTGTGATCTTTGAACAAATAATTCCTGAACTCCACTGGTAATTTAGATTAAAGAAGTGGCATAGCCTAACTGTGCAATGGATGTGGCAGAGTGACACTTCATTCCAAGATTTCCTGAGAGTGCACAAAACCTACTGTTTATTTTGCTGTGTCATAAGACTGTGACAAAAATATATACAGAAAGACTGACATTTCATCAGACAAACAGAGCAAACACTGTTTGGAAGTATTACTTTGTCATAATCATTTGCATGGACTGTGTGATTTCTTTTGAATTGCTTACCCTTGAAATCCTTAGATACACTGTGTTTACATAAGGAAACTACTGTTGAGGATTTTTCTTTATTTCATTTAGGAATGGTGCACCATTCCCTACCGAAATAATACGTTCTTCCAGTGCTAGCTAGATCATTACTAGTTTTATTCATTTGCAAATTATTAATTTTAGCACTTTTCTAGGATGTGAAAAAACTAATGGAGCAATAAGAAAATAAATGTTAGTTGTGAAATACTGTAGTATTGGGAATTAGTGTTCATCACTAATCATAAAGAGTGAAATAATATATTATTTTTAAAAAATGCTTTTTGTCAATTTTAGCATGTATCTCAAACCTGGGATATAATGGGAATTTTCTGTCTGGCCTATATTTTTCCTGTTGATTTCCAGCATTAAGGAGTATTTCACTATAACAGAAGGATTTAGGTGGATTTAAAGTTTTCCATTTAAACCAAAAGTCTTATCCTTAAGTTTATAAACTAATCTTTTAAACCGATTTGATTACTTAAAGTAGTTAAATAGAAAGACAATAGTATGTCTTAAACATTCTAATGCAAAGAATTTCCTTAGGTACCAATCACAGTTTATATAATGGAGATATATCCAGCTGTCTGAAATAGAAATAAACTCTTGGTGCAAATTATTTTAGAACTGTTCTGGCACAGCATATCTATGCAACAGGTGGAAGCACCTCCTTAATTTTTTTTTTTCAGTAAGGATAGATAATGCTTTCAAATTTCCCACTATTAAAGATGTTAATTCTGGCTTAATTCTATATGGCTAAATAAAATTAGTGCAGGATTGATTTAATGATTTACACACTGTACTCTTGTGTACATTTAAGTGAGGCATGCAGTGCTGGAGCTTTGGAAGAGAAAGGAGGAGTACTGAAGTTTAGGGAAGTTGATTTGTTAGGGTAAAACCACTAAATGCAGCATGGGGCTGTTTGAATATTTTGTTAATTCTTTGATGTATATGCCTTAATTATTGTAGAAGGAATGCTTTTCCCTGCAGGTCTTCATCCTTCCTCTGTTTGCTCTCACTGCTGCTTGTGGTTTTGTTTTTTTGGTTTTTTTTTTTTCCTGTGTGTGGGCCAGAGAGCTTGGCCCTCTTAAAGGTTGAATTTTTCTCTACCATTTTCTGGATGGTGTAGGATTTCCAAAGGGCAGACATCAGTATTGATGTATGGGTGTATACAAGAGCAGGTACATTGATCAGAAGTGTTTTTGCTTTCCTAGTTGACCATACCAACTTAATATGCTGTGTTTTTCTGTCTCTTGAAGGATAAGGTGAATTGTCTTAATAGAACTAGAATGGTGGTCATAGATGAAGAGAGTGAGATGTTCTGAAACCACCATTGGAAGCACTGCGCACCCATTTGTTTAATATCCCACTGAATCATCAGCCTAAGTTCTCTATGACCTCACCCATCTGCTCAGAATTGCAGTCTTTTTGGAAAAGAGAGGAAAATACAGAAATCTTTCCATTATTCAGATTTTGCTGAATTGTATTACTTCAATGTTACTGAGTTACATTAAACAAGCCACACGGTTTAAATAAGCAGTCAAAGTAGTGTACTTTTCTTTTTTGAGTATTCAGTTAAAACCTATTTTTTCTTTTATACTTCTTACATGAAATTGAAATGTCTTGTCACCTCTGCTGGCTGTTAACACCAGTTAAAAATGTGCTGTACAACCCTGTTTTCAATAACTTAGGTCTTTGTACACTTCAGCTGCTCTGTGTTTATTTATATGGTCACTTTAGTATTTTGCCTTTTGAAAAAAGAGCTGTTGTGTGTTTATAAAAATGATTGTACTATACTGCTTCTATTTGTCAGAATGATTATAGCATCATAGAGTCATTTAGGTTAGAAAAGACCCTTTGGATCATTGAACATAAAAACGGTGTGTTATTCAGTGAAGTAAGCAAATACTAATACATGCCTTTGGCTTACTCTTCATATTGAAGGAATTTTGGTACAGTTACTTCCCTCCTCGCCATTCTTCAGCTTTTTTGAAATTCTGTGTGTTCCTGAGTTTGTGGAAAGCATTCCTCAAGGGCAGCAGGGGCAGGACGTTCAGATGGCAGGGTGTGAATCTCTAGAAAAGACTAGAGGAAAGGCCACTTTCCTTACAGAAAGACTGTACTCAAATCTAGACAGTGAAAGTTGCTTTTGAATTGCACATCCTGAAAGTATTGATCTTTAAGGCTGAGGCTGTGTATGCTTTGAATTTTAATGTTCCTTTCCATTTTCTTTTCTAGCTGGAACACTCACAGCTTTCCCTAGAGGATTATAAGTTTGATATTCAGAAGACTGAAGGATGCCATCTGAAAGGTGCCTGAGGTATAGTACTTGGTAGTGTGTAGGAAGTTATTAACATTTGGGATGGTGTTTACTGAAGATTCAGTTAAGAAAGTAGAAAAAAGTAAAACTAATAGTTTTGTTCATTAGATAGGAATTCACATTATTAAATACATATCCATGTTATAATCTGCAAAATATTACCTTGTTGCTTCTTATCTCAGGCAAAGAAAACTGAGCCTGGGATTGATTGGAAGCTCACAGTCTCTTCATACCTTACCTTATTTATGCCTTAGTCTATACTCGGAAATTTTGATTGTGGAAGCAACTGGCACTTTTTGCATCTGGAATGGTGCCTGGTGATAGTTTTGGGTCTGTGCAGGGTTCCACTGTCTGGGACACATTACTTTTCCAGTTTTTTGAAATGTCTTGCAAGATTCTCTCCAAATTAATCTGTCTGCCTTCCCTTCTGTCTCCTTCCCAGTGTAGCCTTTCTCATTTGTTTGTACCACCCATTCTTGCAACAGAGAATTTGTCATTTATAATTTAATTACTTTCTGGGAGCAGAACATGGTTCTTTCAGACAGAACACTCTGCAGAATTTATTAACTGAATTGGTTTTCTGCAGAACTTTGCAGTAGTGTGATATGCTAGTGCTTCTGTTTTACAGAGTAGTTAACACTGATCTGGGAGCTCTGAAATCTCCCTGATATGACTGGGACACCTTATCATATCAGTTCTGTTCCCCCTTCCCTGCCATGCTTCTGCAGCAGAAGAGGATCAGAACTTGTTTGTTTTTATAGCTATTGAATTTATCAACTGGCAATACCACTGCTAATAATCAGTCATGTTATGTTGAATTAATGTATGTATTTTCACTCATAAATTCCAGTTAAATTTCCTTTTATGTGTATGCATTCTTCATATGTTACTAGCACAAGGGTTACAGGCAACTGATTTTTCACTTTGGTCACTGAATTGAAAAATGGATTATGATAGAACTCAGTTTAAAATTCCAGATATGTTCTCTATTGAATGAAATAGTCCTCTGGATGATGGTGAAAAAAGCAAGAGGAGTGAAGTTCTTGATTTACAGCACCGGGAGGGAGGCTAATAAAAATAGAAGTAAAGAGAAACCATCTCAGGGTATCATTAATGTATTATACTTGCCTTAGTTTTAGTCACTTTGCTATAGAAATTACAGAAGAGAAATAACTGTTAAAAATTGTGTTTAGCAAGTTAGATTTCTTGATAATGTCATTTAGAATATGAGTTGGTTCCACAAACAGAACAGCTAAGAAAAAACAGTAATTTGAATGAGTCCTTTCGAAATGTATTTAGGGCATGTCCATATGTGAAACCTGAACTGTCAGAGAGGCAGTAAAGTTCAGATACACTTTGTTCCTGAGTTATTTCTCTTTGGCCAGCCTTCTTCTAGAAGTAGTGTTTTAGTTGTTGTCTTTCTAAAAGAGTAGGTTAGATTAGAGCAAACAGTCTGCAGGGCAGGTCTGCAGTAGTTTACAGGTGTGCAAGGTGCAGGAGTAGGATGGGCAGAGAAAGGAGAGTATCAGAGCCACACAGCTGCTGCATAGTACATGTATGCAGTGAATGACATGATTGTGCTGGAGAGATGATGGGTTATTCACCCCTTTAAAAAAAATCTTCACTTTGATTGAGATGACTTTCTGTAAAGTCACCTTCTATAAACACATATGTGGATTCTCTGGCAATTTAAATTGGTAGTCTCACGGAGCTCGAATCAATTGCATTGTTTTGTACCAAAGAGGATTTGCTGATATGTTTTGATTTGTTTCCATTTGCATCAACAGTTATCTTCTCTTCCTTCTGCTACAGAGAAAGGAAGCTGCAGCCAGGCAGTCCTAGTCTGGATTATATGCAAATCTATTCATACATGGAAATATTCAGAGGTGGTGAGAAGGCACTGGCATTTAAAAATTGAGCAAACATCCTCTCCCTTCCCCCAACACAAAACAGACAATCAAAAAAAAACCCCATTACAACACTTCATAAATATGAATAGCCTGAAGTGGTCTGAAAACATTCAGTAACTCAGCATCAGATTTAAACAGGCCACCTGAGATCATGAGGTATCATACCTTATAGTAGAATTTCTTGCATACATACATATGTCCTCCTTTTCACCAGTGCTTCAGTTTGAACCACTTAAAGTTTTCTGGTGGTCCGTTGACTTGAGCCGTCTATTGTTCTCATTAATCCTAAAATTAATTCTGTGAGTTCGGCTGACTTTTGGTACAGGAAGTGAGAAATCAGAACCATTGAGGTTTTTAAATTTGAGTATATAATCAGTTTTCATAATGCTTTGTTATATTGAGCTTTTCTTCTGATGTCTATGCTGTGTAAAGATTTTTGCCTGACAGGGTTCATGACTTTTTTGCTTTCCAAGAATTATCAAACTGTCTTGTCTTAGAAAAAGTTGTTCTGTATTCCTGACAGCATGTGTTTGTTTTTTGCTTTATTTTTTGTTTGTTTTTGACAGATTTTTTCCCCTTTCCCCTCTCAGTGTTCAGGAAATGCTGACAGGTCAGAGGCTTTGTCAGTCCAGCTCCCACAATGATGCTGTCCTGGCAGCTCTGAACCAACAAAGAAGTGATGGCATTCTTTGTGATATTACCCTTATTGCTGAAGAGCAGAAATTCCATGCACATAAAGCAGTCCTGGCAGCCTGCAGTGACTACTTCCGAGTAAGTATTTGTATAATAGTATTAAAAATTGTCATTGTGGAGGATAGAGATGATTATAGATATCATATTGAACAAGATTTAAATTTGAACCTTTGGAAAATGCAGAATTATTGCACACTCTGTAGAGTATACAACTTTAAATATAGGAAAGAAATATTAAGAACATAAATCAGATTTTTAAAATAATTATTTGTGGTAACTTCTCCTCCCTCTGCCCCCAACAGAGATAGGCAGTACACATCTTTCTATGAATTTAATGCCCCAGTAAAGTGAGAAAGTAGAAGGTATTTTAGTATGTAGAAATTTTTGTAGAACATATGAGAGTTGTGATTAAAGGATGGTGAAGAAGGGGCTGAGGGAAGACCTCACTGTGGTCTTCAACATCGTCACGAGGGGAAGCGAAGGGGCAGGCACTGATGCCCTCTCTGATGAGCAGTGATGGGACTCGGGGAAGCTGCATGAAGCTGAGTGGGGACATTTAGGTTGGATATCAGGAAAAGCTTTTCACCCAGAGAGTGTTTGAGCCCTGGAACTGGCTCCCCAGGGGAATGGTCACAACACCACACCTGACAGAGTTCAAGAAGCATTTGGACAATACCCTTGGGCACGTGGTGTGACTCTTGGGGTGTCCTGTGCAGGGCCAGGAGTTGGACTTGATGGTCCTGATGGCCCCCTTCCAAGTGAGCGTGTCTGTGATTCTTTGATTAGAGTCTGGAAGAATGGAGAGAGGGAGTTTAAATTTAATCTTTACTGTGAGGCTGATGAGGCACTGGAACATGTTGCCCCAAGAACTTGTGGCTGCCCCATCCCTGGAAGTTTTCAAGGCAGGGTGGGTGGGGCTCTGCGCAACCTGGTCTAGTGGGAGGTGTCCATGGTAGCGGGTTTGAAACTAGGTGGTCTTTACCCTTTCAACCCAAGCCAGTCTATGATATAATGATAAATGCAATTTATTTCAGCTTGAGTTTAGATTTTTGTCAGATGTAAATGGTTGCTCTCAAAGAGGGAGCCATAGTAATTTCTTAAATGTGGTAAAACTTATTTTCAGAAACAACTGTTTCCAAGATGTAAAATAAAATATTCCCTGGGAAATCTGATTCAGACAATTCCAGTCTAATTCCAGTCTAGAACTGGCATAACTGAAAAATCGTGTTTGCTCATAAGAAAAGTATCCTTTATATGAGGCAATTCTACTAACCTTAATTACAATGTGCCCACTCAAAATGTTGGACCATCTATAGCTGTGTAGTTAACTGGTATTTTTCAGTGTGAGTCATTCTGTTGTTAATCAGATACTAAAATTAAAATTAATTTAAGGGTCTATTTTCTCTAACAAAGTAAATTTATTAAATATTTTGTCTACACAGTAATTGTGGCATGATGAACTTCTTTATGGGGATCTTTTTGTCTTGTTACAATAGTAATACAGTGTATGACAACTTCTCTATCTCTGATTACCTGAGCAGGGTTTTTGTCTTCCTGTCAGCTCTCTCTTGACTTTTGGTTAGAATTTCAACTTAATTTATTCTGTGTATTTAAGAAATGTTATTAACCTTGATGTGACTTTTGCTGTGATGGTGTTGAGCCAATTGATTGCTCATTTTTTGAGTTTATCTGGGTTCTGCTACAGCATAGTTTGTACTGCCACGGTTGCTGATGCTGCTTCATCATGATGCCCAGGCCCTGCTGTAGCAGAGATTGCTTTACATTTTTATTTCTTTCACCCCAGTGCACAGAGAGGGATTCTGGACTTTTCTACTTGTAGCAACTGACAATGATAGATATAGTGCCTGTTGTTCTGGTTTGGTTGAAATATTTTCCTAAGAGTGCCATATCATCTGCACCTGTGACACTCTTTCCAGAGCTTATTGTGCCCTGTGTGTAGAAACATCATGGAGTGGGCACCTATGCTCAGTGTTCCAACAGTGAGGTAGGAACATCTTCTACTTTGGTCACTTATTGATTGATGTTGAGATCTGGGGCACTGTGATTTATCCTGTTATTTCCAGTTGAGTTACTTGGTATTGACTGGACAGTAATTGCAAATTAAAATCTTAATGCCCTTTATTGCTACATAAATATTTTTTATTTAAAAAATGTTAAGAGAATGCTTTATGTAACATTGAGTAATTTGGTCTGCCTCTAAACTCTTATGGTTTGGTAGGATGTATCCTTCAGACTTTAGATATTAGCTATAAATATGAAACCTGTGCTTTCTGAAATCAGGAAAACAGGTTTTTTATTAATAGACAAAAATCTTTTTTTAGAATATTGTAAGTAAGATCTATATTCTGGAGGAGGATGGCAAGAAAGTTACACTACGTTCCTAATTCTAATAATTTTGGAAAAGCAAGAGACAATTAAAAAGTAATAATGTTTTGAGAGAGATTATTGATCTTTTTATATCTAGGGAGATTTTACCTAATTTGAGCTACTTGGGTATTCTTTTTATAAGACTTAGAAGAATGAATCAAGCTTAATTTTAGAGTTGGTAAGAAGAAAGAAGTGTCGCCAGACGATGATAAAGGAGAACAGCAGATTTATTCAGAATGACATGAGTGATGGTCTGGAAGTGCTGGATCTGTCTCAAGTGGCCATAAAGGCCAGAGTCACATACTTCAAACTCAGCTGTTGTTATTATTATATTATTTTTACCTTTATTTTTTTTTTTCTGAAGGAATTCTTAGACAAAACTTTCAGATTTTCTAACTCTAAAGTAATTTATGAAGAACTCATTGCCATGTGAAACTTACCAGGATGGACCTGCTGCCAGCCAAGACTGAACCAAGCAGGGGATGATAGTAGCACCTCTGTAATCTGTTAAGAAGGAGGGAAAAAGTTACTGTACAGATGTAATTGTGGCCAGAGAAGAGCAGGGTGAGAATATGGGAGCGGGACAACTGTACAGACACCAAGGTCAGTGCAGAAGGAGAGACAGGAGGTGCTCCAGGTGCTGGAGCTGATGTTCCCCTGCAGCCCATGGTGAAGACCACGGTGAGGCAGCTGTGCCCCTGCAGCCCATGGAGGTCCACAAGGATGCAGAGATCCACTTGCAGCCCTTGGGACATACCCTAGCCAGAGCAGGTTGCCTGAAAGAGGTCTGTGGAACCCTGGGAAACCTGTGCTGGAACCGGATCCTGACAGGGACCTGCAGACCCGTGGAGAGAGAGGCCCATGGTGGAGGAGGTTTCCTGGCAGGACGTGTGACCCTGTGGGGAATCCAGGCTGGAGCAGCCTGTCCTTGAAGGACTGCACCCCATGGAAGAGTGACCCACATTGCAGCAGTTTGAGGGGAGCTGTTGCCTGTGGAATGGACTCAGACTGGAGAAGTTCATGGAGAGCTGTCTCCCCTTGGAGGGACCCCGCGGTGCAGCAGGGGAAGGACTCCTCTCCCTGAGCAGTGGGAGAAACTGCTGGGGATGAACTGACCATAACCCCCATTCCCTGCCTCCATGCACTGCTGGGGGAGGAGGGAGAGCTGAGAGGGAGAAGAGGTGCAGGGAAGTGGTTTTTAAGGTTTATTTTACTTCTCACTATCCTGTTCTGATTTTGTTAGTAATGAATTCTGTTAACATGCCCAGTTCAGGTCCGTTTTGCCCATGACGGTATTTGCTGAGTGATCTCTCCTGTTCTTTACCTCAACTCATGAACTCTTAATTTTATTTTCTTTCCCCTGTCCCTTTGGGGAGGGGACTGAGAAAGCAGCTTTGTTGGGTGCCTGGCATCCAGCCAGCATCAGTCCACTATAATCTTTTTGCCAGGTCTCCAAAAATATCTTCAGTTCCATGCAGGGCTCTATCAGAGTAAATAGATTGTTTTTCCTTTCTTGCCACTATTGTAAAACAGCTTCTACAAGAGACTGGATGTTTGCTTTCCATGGAGGGTTTGTATAGTTTTCTGCAGTTTTGTTCTGTGTCTATTTTGATTAAATTGTAGTGTTGTCTTGAGCAGTATATTTTCTTAGAAATTGATACTTATGTCTTTCTTTTACTGGAAAGAAAAGTTTGTTAATGCTTTAGAAGGATAACTAAATTTGTGTCATTTTACAAACTGGGGCAATTAGAGCCACTTGTGTGAGGAAGAATGGACAGAGAAGGCCGGAATTTTCCTTACCAAATTTTCTTTGGGATGATAGTTTGGAGTGAAATCTTTTGCTTTCCTAAGACAAGCCAGAGACCTGAGCTTTAGTAAAATACCTAAAGGCCAGCCTTCTAGGGTACCAGCAGGCCTTCCATTCTTCCTGTTGGTATAGGTAGTCTCACAGTTGCAGCTGTGCAGAAACATTGCAGTTTAAATCCTGAGAGTAACTCCTGGTTTGGAAGTTTGTTACATTTGAACACCAACATTTTGTGAGTTTTCTCTTTATGAAAAAAATCCCTTAGGGAATTGGATACAAAGACTCTGTACATGGAGTTAAACTGCAAGATTAGACACTTGAAAATTAGGAGTTTTAATTTATTTTCTGCTCCTGAAGTACCTCTTCTTTCAAGATGTCCTAAGGAATATAGTAGTTATCTCCATACTCTATAATACTACTATAAATAATAGTAAATATCTATTTTATGTGTTCTTTTTAAAGTAAGAAACATAATTTTATACAAACTTTTCCATATTGACATGCTGTGATTTGCCATTTGTCTCAATCTATTGCACTGAGACAAGGCAGTTGAGTTAATATGTGTAACTGTGATAGCTCTAGCAAGCTAAGTCATTTCCAATTAAAAGATTCCTCTGCTTTTTTCCCCTCTGGGAGCAAAATGAAATGTTACTGCATGACTTCATTAGTAGGCATTTACAGTGTTGGCAGGTGATTACATAACCTCAAGATTTTCTTCTACAAAATGCATTGGTTTTCCAGTCAGAAAAACTCTTCTTCTTCCCTACTTTTCATTTGAGTGGGTTTTTAGTTGCAGGACTTTGATCTTTCTCAAAAAGATGCAGATTTTACATCTAATTTATATGAACAATTACATCAATTATCTGGAATAGATTTTAAAATGTCA